ATCTCTGATGTAATTTAGTGCAAGGTGATTGTCTCTTTGTAAACCCTGCAACTCAATTCTCATGGCACCGAAATCCTGAAGGAAGCTATGGAGGTCTTAGTTGATTCCCGTGGTGGTAGAGAATATCTGTCTCAACAACTAAGTATCCACGTCAGCATGTGGGAGTTCTTGATCTGCAGGGACTGGGCCTTGCTCTACTTGCCGTTTACGACGCCCATTTTCTTGCTCTTCTCTATGTTTAACTCGAGCCCTTGCTTGAGCTTCAAATATAGTACGTTTGATCATGGGGCTGGGTTTTTCAGGTACCTCCTCAGATAGGAGTGCAACACCCGTTGCCCTACATATGCCACTAATGAGGCTCGGGAATATCAGAGTGGAGTGGCGATCTCTCCAAGTCCCCAATGTGTGTAGTTGATTGTATATAAGAGTGGCGAGATCTATCTTGTTACCCCGAACCAAGTGGTAGATAAACCCTGCTGTTTGATCAGGAAATGTAGTCCTATGTGATATGGGCTCGATATTGTGGCACATGAAGAGCCATAAAATGGCTATGGATGGGGTAAGCTCGAGATGCCACTCGGTAGTTGCAAGCGGCCATGCATTTTCCCGCCCCATCAAAACCTCAGCCACTTCATTCCAGTTAAATTCAACTGGGATAGGGATCACATTCTCCACGATGAGCTGGTAGTAATCATAAATGACATCGGGAGAGAACATAATCCACTTTCCCCGCACCCTAGACTGATGGAAATGCTCAAAACTCGGCGTGTCAATCTCATTGTTGAAGTTGGCGAAGAACTCTCTGCATAGAGTCTCATAGATTGGATATGGTTGCTCAACCAACTTGTGCCACCCACAGATCTGAACTAAGTTGACCAGCTCAAAACCCGTGAAATCATCAAGCTTAACGGGTCTTTTAGCGTGTATAGTCTAATGGCGTATGATATTCTCATATTGCGCCGCAATTTCTACATTTAAGAATTGCGGAACTTCCCCGCAAGCTTTCAAGTACGGGTTGTCCCGATGGAGGAGCTTGCTTTTTCTTTCCCGTGCAAAGTTCTCTTAGGAGGCATTTTGCAAAGTTTATAAAACTACACTTATTAAGTTTGATGTGAAAAGAATAGGCATTGAGTGAGAAAATAAAGTATGCATTGCACAAATCCCCCAAACTTGCTTCAAAATGTATGTAAATGACGTTGATGTGTAAAATGCATGAAACATGTTCCAAGATAGTGTTAGTATCAAAGGAATGTGAAACACCAACAAAAATTAGCTCAAAACATACATTTTGATAGAATTAACCCATGACCAACCTAGAACTTTCAGTGTCGGGCATCGCCTAGAAAATTAAAATTTTTTAGAGTGATCTCCGGGCATATGAAAGTGTCCATACTATTCTAGCACATATCCAAAATTCAAGTCAAATGGATGTCGTTTGGGTTGCCAAAATATGGTGCATTTGGGTGAAGTGAGATGCTGTGATGTGACCTAGTCATATTGTGCCTACAAGTATTGCCTACGTATGGTCAAGTTTGGTTCTTGTACTTTCCAATTCATGTGTTACGGGAATTCATCACATTACCCCACTCTCATTCATATATTACTCATGTCAATGTATTTCATGTATATTGTGTAGTTCAAGAAATTTATTGAGTGGGTAAACAAGCTCTAGCTAAACGGTACATATTGCAACCATATTTACGAACCCCTCAACAGTTATACGCCGTCACTTCAACAAGCAGAGAGAGCATCAATGTTATTCACATCCTAGTTTGTATATCCAATGCTCAAATTACCAAAATGCATAACTCATTTCACATTGACAATTGATCAAACATGTAGCGTGCCATTGTATGAGATCTCTAGTATTTTAACAATTGGAGTCTAAGTCATGCCAAAATGACACACATTTAACAATCTAGCATCTACTACTATGAGATAAGTTCTTTTCAAGTTAATGTACATAGGAATGCATCACAATATGTATTGCAATTCATCCACCAAAATCACGCAATGCAAGAAGCACCATAAATCATATAATATTCACCGTGGCATTTCATCAAACATATAGCATGCATAATGTGAAGGTATTACCAATTTATTGAAATGAAGTTTCAAATCATCCCATATACCTCACAACACAACCACAGCAAATTCACGCATATATGAATTAGCCCATTCTCCCTCAATTCCTCAAAATTGAAATTTCAAATGTGACTTACCCTAATGCCGGATTCGAGAGGGATTTAAGAAACATTACCTTGTACTTGTAGGGCTTGATTTGAGTTCAAAATTGATTTACTGATTGATGATATGGCGCTTCGTATTCGTGTGTAGTGTATGTGATTCGAGCTCGGCCGTATGTAGAACTCGGAGTCCTTTGTCGTGAGTTGTGTTTGTGAGAGATTTGGGAAAAGAAAAAAAAATTGAGGTGGGAAAGAAGGAGCCGGGCGTGGGTTAAAAACCCACACCTGATTCTGCCATGCGGCCGCATGTCTTTAAGACGTGCGGTCGCATGGTTCAAGTGGCTTTGGCCACTTGAATCCCGGCCCCTGTTTGTGCGGTCTCACCGTGCGACCGCATGAACCAAATATATATATATATATATATATAATATAAATTTTTTGACCATGCTAAAAAAAACGAATTTAAAAATAAAAAATTTGAAAATATATTCAATTCCCCAAAAATCACAAGTTTGATTAAATTTCACCCCAAAATTTGGTTTTCAATTTAGTGGTCGGCTTGGCTTTTCAATGACCCCAACTTTTTCAAAGATACATTTCTAAACATTTTGGGGTATGCATAGACTATAAACTTAATGCCTGAAACCAAATTTTTGAAATTCACAATCAAACATTGACATTTGAAATTTTGAAAATAAACTTCTGCCTCGAAATGCGTGAATTACACCCCCAATTACCAAAAACAACTCCACTCATCCTAAACTTGTGTGTGATGCTTAGCGACTCGTGTGGACAGTGCTTGAACTCTTTTAACATGTATAGATGATCAATGACCTAACTTAAAAAATTTGAAAAATGAAATTGAAAAATTCCCTATCTGATGCAGAAAGCAAAATAAATTAAATTAAAAAGATACAGTGGGTTGCCTCCCATCCAGCGCTAGGTTATAGTCGATAGCTCGACTTTTCTGCAACTACTTCATTTTGGCGTCCCGAGTTGAACAGTGAATTTTTCGTTGGAGAAGTCACCTCCCCAATAGTGTTTCAGCCTTTGCCTATTAACAGTGAGGGTACCCTTAGTTTCATGGCTGACTTGTATAGCTCCATAAGGTAAGACCTTCATGATAGTGTAAGGACCTGACCACCTTGATCGTAGTTTTCCTGGGAACAACTTGAGTCTCGAGTTATACAATAGCACTTTCTATCCCACTTCGAACTCTCGCCTCTGAATATGCATGTCATGCCACTTCTTGGCTACTCTCAACATCTGCTCATCTGGAAAGATCTCATTGACATCCACTAATTCTTCTGTCTTCCCAACCTCTATTCGGGATAGGTGATCCGCTACCACATTCTCACTGCCCTTCTTATCTCGTATCTCAATATCAAATTCTTACAGCAACAGTACCCAACGAATCAATCTCGACTTTACATCCTTCTTTGTGAGTAGATACTTCAATGCAGCATGATCTGTGTAGACGATGACTTTAGACCCGACAAGGTATGATCTGAATTTTTCGAATGCATATACCACGGCTAAAAGCTCCTTTTCAGTGGTGGCATAATTGATTTGCGCATCATTTAGAGTTCTACTTGCATAGTAGATCACATGAAAAATCTTGTTCTTCCGCTGTCCTAATACTGCACCCACGGCGTGATCACTGGCATCATACATCAATTCAAAAGGCAGTTTTCAGTCTGGTGCCATAATTACTGGTGCTGTTGTGAGCTTCTCCTTTAAAGTGTTGAATGCCGTGAGACATTCCTCATTAAACTCAAAGATTATGTCCTTCATTAGCAGATTGCATAGCGGCTTAGTGATTTTCGAGAAATCTTTTATAAATCTCTGTAGAGCCCCGTATGCCCCAAGACGCTGCGAACCCCATTAACTACTGTAGGCGGTGGTAACTTCTTAATAACTTAAATTTTTGCCTTGTCTACTTCAATTCCTTTTTCTGAGATCTAATGCCCGAGTACAATGCCTTCCTGTACCATAAAGTGACATTTCTCCCAATTTAAAACCAGGTTAGTCTCCATGCATCTCTGTAAGACCAAATTTAGGTGTTCTAGACATTCATCGAATGAAGATCCAAACACTGAGAAGTCGTCCATGAAAATCTCGATAAACCTTTCAATCTTATCGGAGAATATTGCTATCATACACCTCTGAAATGTGGCTGGAGCATTGCAAAGACCAAAAGGCATCCTACGATATGCAAAAGTACCGTAGGGGCAAGTGAAAGTGGTCTTCTCTTGATCATCCGGTGCGACAGGTATCTGATTGTAGCCCGAGTATCCATCAAGGAAGTAGTAGTGTGAATATCGAGCCAACCTCTCCAACATCTGATCAATGAATGGGAGTGGGAAGTGATCCTTTCGTGTAGCTGCATTTAGTTTGCAATAATCGATGCAAACTTTCCATCCCGTCACTGTTCTGGTGGGAATTAATTCATTCTTCTCATTTTTCACTACTATGATTCCCCCTTTTTTCGGCACCACTTGAACTGGACTGATCCATGCACTGTCTGAAATTGGGTAGATAATCCTGCATCCAGTAATTTCAATATCTCTGCCCTGACTACTTCCTTCATATTCGAATTCAATCTTCTCTGACTCTCTATACTTGGCTTGCAATTTTCTTCCATTAGAACTTTATACATCCACAAAGAAGGGTTGATCCCTTTAATGTCAGCTATTGTCCACCTAATCGCCGTCTTATTCTCTTTGAGTACCTGAGCAATTTTTCTTCTTGCACATCACTGACTGTGTTCGAAATGATTACTGGACGTGTAACTGACTCCCCCAAATATGCATATCAAAGATGTGGCGGTAGTTGCTTGAGTTTTAAAATTGACGGCTGTTGAATGGAGGGCAGTGGCTTTACATTTCCCATCCCCAGTTCCTCGAAGTGCCTCTTTCGGGTGTATGGCGGGTTGGTCTCCAAAAACCTTGCACATGTTTCAACTTCAAGAGAATCAGACTGGACTGATTGGGATTGTGCAATGCATGCCTCATAGGCATCAGATGGGCTGTGAAGTAAGAACGTTTCTTGTACTGCCTTGTTAATGATGTCAACCTGGTAATAGCTATATGATTTTGCTGGCAATTTCATGGCCTTGAAAACATTAAACGATATCTGCTCCTCTCCCAATCTTAAGATCAACTGCCCCCTTTGGACATCAATTACCGCTCTCCCTGTTACCAAAAATGGTCTGCCAAGTATCAATGGGACGTCCTTGTCTTCTTCCATGTCCAAGATGAGAAAATGCGCTGGGAATATGAACTTCTTGATAAGCACATCTTCAATTATTCCTCTAGGATGTATTAGTGACCTGTCAGCCAGCTGAAGTGTCACAGTAGTCGCTTTAGCGTCTTCTAAGCTGAGTTTTCTAAAAACAGACAGAGGCATTAAATTAATACTTGCACCAAGGTCACATAATGCTTTATCGAAAAAAACTTCACCAATAGTGCAGAGAACAGTAAAACTCCCTGGATCTTTCAATTTTAGTGGGAGCTTTCTCTGGATTCTGGCACTGTATTCCTCTGTAAGCATCACTGTCTCATTGTCCTCCAGCTTGTGTTTGTTTGATATAATATCTTTGAGAAACTTCGCATTGCCGGGCATTTGGAATAGTGCATCGGCTAGTGGGATGTTGATATGGAGCTTTTTGAAGACTTCTAGGAATTTTTTGTACTGTTGCTCCAATTTTTGCTTCTTCAACCGCTGTGGAAAGGGAATTGGAGGCTCGTATGGGTTGACTGTGACTTTGGTCTTATCCCGTGACTTTTCTGAATTTTCTTTTAGAGTTGATTCCTTTGGTTGTTCATCCTGTACAACAGTCTCTTCTTTAGTAGGAGAAGATGCCTCTACAATCACACCCGATCTCTTGACATGGATTTCAGGCAGTTGTACTCCACTTCGAGTTGTAATGGCCTTGGCTTGCTCTTTGGGATTGATTTTTATGTTACTCGGCAAGTTACTCGACGTTCTGCCAGTAAATGCGATGGCTAACTGCCCCACCTGAGTTTCTTAATTTTTTATGGCTGCATTTTGATTTTGAAATGTAGCTTCAGCTTTCTCCATGAATTTTCCTATCATATCTTCCAACTGAGGCCTCTTCTGTTATTGTTGAAATTGTCTCTGTGGCCTATTTTGATTCTGGTTGCTCCAAGAGAAGTTGAGATGCTTCTTCCAACTGGGATTGAAAGTTTCTTCATATTGATTGTGTTGTTGGCATTGTCCTCACTGTGCATAGTCTGCTTGCTCAATTTCTTGCATGAGTATTGGGCATTCCGATGTTTTATGCTCAGCTCCACATTCCTCACAATTGCTCTTCTTCGCTTGTGTTGCTTGTGATATGTTTTCCACCTTGTGATACAGAGAGTCGATTTTTGTAGATATTGCTGAATAAGTATCCACCTCGTAGACGTCCGAAGTTTTTCTTGGAACCGCCCTCTCAGAAATCCACATAGCTGATGTGGTAGCCATTCTTTCAAATAATTCCAATGACCATCAACTGTTCGTGTGGATATTGAGCCATCTGATGTTGAATCCACCATGCTCCTGTGGTATAGAAGTAACCCTATGTAGAAGAATCGGATTTGGGTCTCTTTGTCAAACCCGTGTTGAGGGCACTTCCGGTGCATGTTCTTGAATTTGTTCCAAGCTTCGTCAAATAATTCGATTTCTCCTTGACTGAATACTGATATGTCATATCTCAGCTTCGCTATTTTGGCTGGTGAGAAAAACTTTGTGCAGAATTTGTGTGCCAATTCGTTCCATGTAGTAATACTTTCAACCGAAAGTGAATCCAACCATTCAAGTGCTTTGTCTCGTAGTGTGTGTGGAAACAACCTTAGCCTAATAGCGTTGTCTGAAATCTCTTGGTATCCAAAATGTTGACACATATCCAAAAATCGAGATATGTGTGTATGTAGATTCTCCTCGGCCTTGCCATAGAACTGATGTCCATTTTGAAATAGTTGTATCACACTTATCTTCAACTGAAAATTTGGTTGCCCAAATAATGGATACACTATGCTGGATTGATTTTGAATTACTTGAGGAGTCAAGAAATCTCCCAAAATCTCGTTTCCTTCGTCTATTGTCTCTCCTTCATTAGCTTGAATAATGGGATTGTTCAGTTCGTTAGCCATTTGTACTTGTGCTTCTCGGTGATCTCTTTGTAGTTGATGAAAGGTGCACTCTATTTCAGGATCTGTTGGAATCAATTCTCCTCCAATCGATCGTGGCATGCAAATCTGAAAGACAAACTAGTACGAGCACTGAGATTTAAACAATTTAAATAACTAAAACACAAATAAAGGATAATCACCTAAAATAGAAATAAAAAAAAAATTATACTAGCAAAATAAAAATTGAAGTTTGAATTAGTGCCCAAAAGAATAAAATTAAACTAAACATAATCCCCGGCAACGGCGCCAAAAACTTGTTCGTGAAATATTTTTTTATTTAAAATTACCGCAAGTGTACGATTCGTTAACAAGTAATAAAGTGGATTAAATGAGTCCGAATATCGTTCCACAGAGATTGATTAGTTCAGATTTTATCTATCGTAACCTTAGCCGAAACTAAATTACCAAAGTGAATGTAGATATAATTAAACCCTAATTTTGGAAAGAAACCCTAATTATGCGAAATTTATGATTAAATTAAAATTAGTATGCAAAACAATATTTTAACACTCTAGAATGAAATCAAATGTTGAGAACGCACGTTTTTGTAATTAATAGAAATTAAACACACTAGGATCACGATTTTCCATGCAATTATCACTTTAAACCCTAGTTTCACAATATGACAACACACTTCAATTGTTGACGAATCAATGTTCCTAAATCTATCCAATACTCTCTCTCGAGATGTATCAAACTTATTTCTATATACCACCGGCCTATATTTCTATGACATTTGCAAATATAAAAATACATGCAGTTTTATGAACATTTAAAGATTCACTTAGGGCATAGCGATATATTTCTATCTCCTATCGGACCCTACGATGATTTATATTATGTCGAATCTATTCCAATTCCCTCGAATGCGAGAATAAATCACCCAAACTCACACAATTACGGGACCTTAATTGCGGAAACAATAATTGCATATAAATTATTCAAAACAATAGAAATATGTCTTTATGTCAAATTGCAAAACTATAAAATTAAATATCTAACTACATGGTACATCGATCTCCTAGCACATGAGAATCTAGCCTAACATAGTTGAAATAACAAAATACATCAGATTTTGAATAAAAAAACATCACCGGGTTATGAAATCTTGAAGCTCTTTGTGTCAATCTTCGTTCTTACGCTCAAAATCCTCTCCAAGAAGTGTTTTTCTGCCTATAATTACGTTCTACTCTTTCTGGACGTCTTTTGGTATTTATATCCCGTGAAAATTAGGTTAGCAAAAGAGTTTCAATCGTACAAGGAAAGTAAAATTTTCGCGTCGGAAACCTATCATGCGACTGCATGGCTTTAATCCGTGCGGCCGCATGGTTATGCCATGCTATCTCCAGAATTCCCTGCACTCGTTTGTACGACCGCACGAGAGTTCTACCATGCGGCCGCATGGTAGACTCTGACTTTCATTTTCTCTAATTTGGTCCCTCTACTTGAATCTTTCACTTCTTCGCATTTTTTCTTCATTTTTTCCATTCCATCATCCCAAGATATCATCAATTGGCATTTGGCTCAATCAATTTCTTAATTTATTCATCGGGTCAACTTTTGGATAATTGCACCTTGGTCTCTGAACTTTCACCCTGCATCATTTTAGTCATTTTTTGCGTCTTTTCTCTTGAATTTCGCCATGTTCATCGGTGTTCCCTACAATTTACAAATGTAACGAAATTAAGTCACAATTTAATCATTTTGCTTGTAATTAAGTCATGTTTGTGACTTAAATAAGTGTGCAAAAACACACTTATCAGTATTGGCTATGGATTAGTTGCTAGACGGTCTGGAGATTAACAGTGATGGTTGAGGGTGTAAATAGAGGCTTTAACTATTGTCCTAATTTATTCCAAACATCTAATTTTCTTTGAGAGGTTATGATTTTCTCTTTGTCTCCTGTTCATCTTCTCCACTTGTCCCATTTGGCGTCAACCTCTGGTCTGACAATTTCTGGGTGTACTGAGTGACTCTTTGAAGTCTTTGTGATTCTGTATGAGAATAGTGATTCGTATTCTGGGTTGATGTCTTCTGGTTTATGGAAACAACTTCAATGAATCCATTTTGAGAATATGGGTTTTTAGATTCTCTATGATAGAGAAGGGTAGAATATAATCTAAGCGTATTCTATGAAATTTTGATGCCTTTGGTGATATGGTGTCTGTGGTGAAATTACTAAGAGGGTTTTTAAGTTTTGGGTCTACGAATTATGATTTTTGTACAATGCTTTGCCGGCATGTTAACTTTCAGCTTAAAAAAAAAATTAACTCTTATTATATCTCACGGTGAAGTGCCAACCTAGTGAATCTGATAATTTTATTTTTATAATTTATGACAGTCTAGGATATTCTACTCTTTATGTTCCATAAATACATTTTTACGAAGAAGCGCCAGATAGTTTAAATCTAAGGAAAAAAAAGTTATTCTCTTGACTGATCAAAATATGAAGAATGAAATGCAGAATTCAAGTAGCACTAAAACACACCATAAGTACTTTTAAGTAACTTGTCATGCTGATGCTGTAACTGGCAGAATTTTTCTGGACTTTTGAAAGCTCTAATGGTTGGTGAACCTGCTTTTGCTACACAAACAGGGTTTAAAAATAGAGAACACGTGTCAAACACTGATCGACCAGTTTGAGAAAAAAAGGGACTAAGTAGATGCTGACACGTAGCACCTATTTTCAAACCCTATCATTTTCATCTGTTTGAGTAGCTTTATCCTGGTGAACCATCTAATGTCTCAATAAATGATGCATAAATAGGTGAACGAGAAAAACTGTCCAGTCTTCTCAATTCTCAAGACGTTGATCTGTAGTAAAACTAAACTAAACTGACGATCAGCCATAGATCTAAATACGTTAAAATTAGCCAACATAAGATTTAATAATTACGATGAAACTAAACTTAAAGAAACTAAAACTAAATATAAAAATGTGTGAATGTATTTACAGATTCACAATAATGAAGTGTTAGCTTCTAATAACTCTTCAAAAGATTCTTGTGTTGAGTTTTGAACAAGCTTTTGTGGTTTTAGTGTTGGCCATCATTTTTTCAAAGTTTATTTTCAATCACACAATCATTCATAAATTAATTTTACATGTAAATTGAAAATTTTTCCTTCTTTGTTAAACACACATTCTCCTAAAAATCACTATTCAAAATACATTTTCTTACCAAAATGGAGCTCAAACAGGAATTTAATGTAATTGAAACATTTCCCTCCTAATCTTTCCACGTTTTTGGAACACCCTCAAACCTTCATTTTGGCACAAAATCCCCCTAAATCACTCAAGCGTTGCGAAAAATTTCCTTGACTTCCACGTCTATTAATTTGTCAGTTAAAAGGGATTTTGAAGGCCGATATTAATAAAAACATTAGGGTTATTTTTGTATCATCATCTACACATATTTACTTCAAACCTTG